TCTTGAAACTAGTGGTTTTATTGACCATCAACACTTGATGTTCCTTTTTGATTTCCACCTCCGCTGATTTCAGCATTGAAAATACTTCAGGAATAGTTTTCACCATCCCCTACATATTGTAGTTCATCACAAAGCTCTTGTAGCTAGGTGGGAGCGACTAAAGGATTCTGTCAATGATCGCCTCGTCCGGGAGGTTAATGTCCAGCTGGGACAAGCGGTTGTGCAACCCAGACATTTTGAGTATGTGCTCACTGATAGAACTATTTTCCTCCATCTTACAACTGTAGAACTTGTCGGAGACTTCATATCTGTCGACCCGGGCATGAGCTTGGAAAACCATTTTCTGCTCTTCGAACATCTCATATGCTCCGTGTTGCTCAAAACGCTTTTGGAGCCCCGGTTCTAAGATGTAAAGCATGCCGCACTGAACGAGGGAGTAATCATCAACACGTGACTGTCAAGCGTTCATAACATCTTGGTTCTCTGGGATGGGTGCTTCACCTAGCGGTGCTTCTAGGACATATGCTTTCTTGGCAGCTATGAGGATGATCCTCAGGTTCCGGACCCAGTCCGTATAGTTGCTGCCATCATCTTTCAGCTTGGTTTTCTCTAGGAACGCGTTGAAGTTGAGGTTGACATGAGCGTTGGCCATTTGATCTACAAGACATTTTGCAAAGGTTTTTAGACTAAGTTCATGATAATTAAGTTCATCTAATCAAATTATTTAATGAACTCCCACTCAGATTAGACATCCCTCTAGTCATCTAAGTGATACATGATCCGACTCAACTAGACCGTGTCCGATCATCACGTGAGACGGACTAGTCATCGTCGGTGAACATGTCCATGTTGATCGTATCTTCCATACGACTCATGTTCGACCTTTCGGTCTCTTGTGTTCCAAGGCCATGTATGTACATGCTAGGCTCGTCAAGTCAACCTAAGTGTTTATGCATGTGTAAATCTGTCTTACACCCGTTGTATGTGAATGTTAGAATCTATCACACCCAATCATCACGTGGTGCTTCGAAACAACGAACTTTCGCAACGGCGCACAGTTAGGGGGGACACTTTCTTGAAATTATTATGAGGGATCATCTTATTAATACCGTCGTTCTAAGCAAATAAGATGCAAAAACATGATAAACATCACATGCAATCAAATAGTGACATGATATGGCCAATATCATATTGCTCCTTTGATCTCCATCTTCGGGGCGCCATGATCATCTTCGTCACCGGCATGACACCATGATCTCCATCATCATGATCTCCATCATCGTGTCTCTATGAAGTTGTTCGCCAACTATTACTTCTACTACTATGGCTAACGGTTTAGTAATAAAGTAAAGTAATTACATGGCGTTTATTCATTGACACGCATGTCATACAATAATTAAGGCAACTCCTATGGCTCCTGCCAGTTGTCATACTCATCGACATGCAAGTCGTGATTCCTATTACAAGAACATGATCTCATACATCACATATATATCATTCATCACAACCTTTTGGCCATATCACATCACAAGGCATATGCTGCAAAAACAAGTTAGACGTCCTCTAATTGTTGTTGCATGTTTTTACGTGGCTGCAATAGGGTTCTAGCAAGAACCTTTCTTACCTACGTAAAAGCCACAATGTGATATGCCAATTTCTATTTACCCTTCATAAGGACCCTTTTCATCGAATCCGATCCGACTAAAGTGGGAGAGACAGACACCCGCTAGCCACCTTATGCGACTAGTGCATGTCAGTCGGTGGAACCTGTCTCACGTAAGCGTACGTGTAAGGTTGGTCTGGGCCGCTTCATCCTACGATGCCGCCAAAACAAGACAAGACTAATAGTGGCAAGAAAATTGACAACATCTACGCCCACAACAAATTTGTGTTCTACTCGTGCAAAGAAACTACGCATAGACCTAGCTCATGATGCCACTGTTGGGGAATGTTGCAGAAAATAAAAAAAAAATTACGCTTCACCAAGATCAATCTATGGAGTCATCTAGCAACGAGAGAGAGGAGTGCATCTACATAACCTTGTAGATCGCGAGCGGAAGCGTTCAAGAGAACGGGGTTGAGGGAGTCGTACTCGTCGTGATCCAAATCACCGAAGATCCTAGTGCCGAACGGACATCACCTCCGCATTCAACACACGTACGGTTGGGGAAGACGTCTCCTCCTTCTTGATCCAGTAAGGAGGAAGGAGAGGTTGATGGAGGCACAACGACATGGTGGTGGAAGTAGCGGCGATCTCGGCAGGGCTCCGCCAAGCTTAGCGAGAGGAAGAGGTGGTACAGGGGGAGGGAGGGAGGCGCCAAGGACTAGGGTGCGGCTGCCCTCCCTCCCCCCTCTTTATATAGGGGGCCTAGGAGTACGCCGGCCCCCTAGAGATCCCATCTCAAGGAGGGGCGGCCTGGGGGGGGGGGACTTGCCCCCCAAGTCAAGTGGGGCGCCCCCCACCCTAGGGTTTCCAACCCTAGGCGCAGGGGAGGCCCAAGGGGGGGCGCACCAGCCCACCAGAGGCTGGTTCCCTTCCCACTTAAGCCCATGTGGCCCTCCGGGATAGGTGGCCCCACCCGGTGGACCCCCGGGACCCTTCCGGTGGTCCCAGTACAATACCGATGAACCCCAAAACTTTCCCGGTGGCCGAAACTGGATTTCCTATATACAATTTTTCACCTCCGGACCATTCCGGAACTCCTCGTCACGTCCGGGATCTCATCCGGGACTCCGAACAACTTTCGGGTTACCGCATACCAATATCTCTACAACCCTAGCGTCACCGAACCTTAAGTGTGTAGACCCTACGGGTTCGGGAATCATGCAGACATGACCGAGATAGCTCTCCGGCCAATAACCAACAGCGGGATCTGGATACCCATGTTGGCTCCCACATGTTCCACGATGATCTCATCGAATGAACCACGATGTCGAGGATTCAAGTAATCCCGTATACAATTCCCTTTGTCAATCGGTACGTTACTTGCCCGAAATTCGATCGTCGGTATCCCAATACCTCGTTCAATCTCGTTACTGGCAAGTCACTTTACTCGTACCATAATGCATGATCCCGTGACCAAACACTTGGTCACATTGAGCTCATTATGATGATGCATTACCGAGTGGGCCCAGAGATACCTCTCCGTCATACGGAGTAACAAATCCCAGTCTCGATCCGTGTCAACCCAATAGATACTTTTGGGGATACTCGTAGTATACCTTTATAGTCACCCAGTTACGTTGTGACATTTGGTACACCCAAAGCACTCCTACGGTATCTGGGAGTTACACAATCTCATGGTCTAAGGAAATGATACTTGACATTGGAAAAGCTCTAACAAATGAACTACACGATCTTGTGCTATGATTAGGATTGGGCCTTGTCCATCACATCATTCTCCTAATGATGTGATCCCGTTATCAATGACATCCAATGTCCATAGTTAGGAAATCATGACTATCTGTTGATCAACGAGCTAGTCAACTAGAGGCTCACTAGGGACATGTTGTGCTCTATGTATTCATACATGTATTACGATTTCCGGATAACACAATTATAGCATGAATAATAGACAATTATCATGAACAAGGAAATATAATAATAATCATTTTATTATTGCCTCTAGGGCATATTTCCAACACACACACCCAAAAATGGAGCAAGTGCCTCTCAATGTGTGAGTTTAGGTATAATACCAATTAGCATTCTGCAGTTGGCAAGTCTCCTTTTGAGATTTTATATAGACATCCTCCTAGATACTTTGGCATCTCAGTTAGTGACACTGTTGTTGCTCCTGATATTCAACATTGGTTGCAAGTGGGGCGGAATGTGTTGGACTCTGTTACTCATCACTTGCATAGAGCTCAACAGAGAATGAAGGCTCATGATGATATGGTTTTCTGAAACTCCAACCTTATGTGCAGTCCTCAGTTGTGCACAGGGTCAACCATAAATTATCCTTCAAGTATTTCGGCCCTTACAAGATCATTGATAAGATAGTCGAGGTAGCCAACAAACCGCAGTTGTTTCTACCAGTAAAATTCACCCACTTTTTCATGTTTCCCAGCTCAAGAAAGTTATTCCCTCTACCACTACAGTGCATCCCATTTTGCCTTCAGAGTCTGCCCATCTGCAGGTTCTAGTGCAAGTTCTTCAGAAGCGAGTTCATCAAGTCGGCAAGAAAACAGTGGCGCAAGGGCTTATACTCTAGAGTGATTCTATCCCTGCCGAAACTACATGGGAGGACCTTGAATCTTTGCGTCACCAGTTTCCTCGAGTTGCCGCTTGGGGTCAACTGCTACTCAATAGGGGGGGGGGGGATGTCAGCGACTCACTGATGAGCCACACTGAACCTGACGAGGAGGGAGGAGCACTAGCTACTGAGGTTTTCGACAACAACAAGAAGGCTACAGTACCGACACCAAGGCCCAAGTCGACCAGGCCTAGGAATTTAACCCAGTGGCTTGTAAGCCCAAACTGGGCCTGCTAATGCGGGTGTAATAGTACTTATAGCCATTGGCTACTTTCATTTCCTTTCGGTGACGGACTAGGCGGCTTCGGTCGAGGCTGTACGGAGACAGATGTGTGGGAGGTTGGGTGGATCGCGCCCGTGTAATTCAAATCCCTAGTTCAAGTTCCCAATTTCGCCGTCATTGTGAAGCTAGATCCGAGTCCCTCGCAATGTAGGTCTCAACTGCCAGATTTGTTGTTAAGACGAGAAAATCATTGATCAGTGCTATGTGTTACACACATGCCTCAATCCTGATGTTTTTTTCTTTTTGTCTGTGATTTTCGGCAAAGGTGATTGCTATGTGATAACACCTAGCTTTTTTTCGAAATAGCTTTCAAATTTACTTCGATCATACACTGCGCTTCTCAAATCACAAGTAGTAACGCAACGCCGTCGAGCGCCCGTGCCGGACGGTTGTCGGTTGTAAATCACGGTAATTAAGCTCATTCGGCATTGCGTATGACCGTTCGCCGGCGCGCTGTTTTTTCACGGCTGGCGGAAGAGGCGGAAGTGGCCGTGGTGGTCGCCGTCGACGACGTGGTGACCGTCGTGGTGATGATCGTCGTCCAGGTGGCCACGGCGGTCGGGCTGGATCCAGCGGCCGTCGGGTGCGCGGACCATGCCCTTGTTCTCGTCCTGGCGCCAGTAGGGCGGCACGCAGTGGTGGTCCTTGAGGAAGTCGGACGCCTTGTTCACCAGCGCCGGGTCGCGCCCGCTCGCCAGCACGAACCGCTCCCCGCTGCCATGGTACCTACATAAAACCATTCATCGGTCGAATCATACAGGAGTACAAAATTTACGTAGCAGTTGATGATTTAATTATTTTTCATCATTAAAAACGAAGCAGTGGGCACGAAGGCCCATGCAGTACACGAGCGAATCGATCTTATATAATATTGTGATGTTGTATTGTACTGGCGAGTAGTTACACCAACTGCGTCTGATCGACAGTAGCATGATGCTTACTCCGACTGTCTCACCTCTCGCTTGGCTGTCTTGCCCATGACAGCATGTGGCCCATGAGTATTTCAATGGACCTGATGCATAGTTAAGTCTCGGCATTACGCACAGGTCCTATTGACAAACTCTAAGCATCTATCACACGACCTGGCATCCCTTTAGAAGATGCACATAGAATTTGTCGTATCGTGCTAGCATGACAAGTTGGTCGTAGACTCGCAGTACGCCAGACGTGATTAGTTTGGACGTACCGCCAGTTAATACTGATAAAACTATACTACTGCAAACACCAGTACGGCAAAACGGGCAAACACCGTGACGTCCGTAAACACCTCACGTCAGCCAGGGCATCACGGTGACCGGGATGGAGCGGTGGAGCGCACATCTGCTGCATGCGTGACATGATCAGACGGTGCGGGCTGTCAAAATACGACGTACGCGCGAACGTTCCAGCCACATATTTTCCCACTAGGAAACGTTAGGGCTCCTTTGAAACATGTTAAACCAAATTATTGGTGCAAGTCAAGTAGTGTATGTCCTTGGCGTCTCCGTGGAGATCAATCAGCCAACTAATCAAGATCATATGATTGTGATCGCCCATGTAGCGCACGGCGTGGATGATCTATTCTCATCTGCGTCTGTCCCACACAGGTGGCTGGAATAATATCGTCTGTCCCGATCCTAACAAGGACCTTGACAAAAAAAAAAGTGCACATGTGTAATGTTATTTTGATGGGAGAAGTTTTTTTTGGATTTGTTCGACCGATTTGGTTGGCAGCCTAAAAAAAATGAGACCAACCCAAGGGCTAACCCTCGTTGGCATTTTTTTATAAAAGAAACTCCGTGAGCACCGCGCATCCTAGCCGGGACTTGAACTCGGGTGGGCTGGCAGCTACCTCGATCAGCTGCCTAGCCAGCGAGTCGACGCCCCATCCTCGCAGCCTACTAGTAGGATTTGTGATGCATGGGGCTCATTTCCTTGCGATCCTTTTTATTTGGAATATTTATTTTTATGCCCATGTTTCTTAGTTTTGCCCTCGTTAGCCTGAAATAGGAAAAAAAAACCAAACCAAAACCGCAATAACTCAAGGAGCGAAGCTCCAAATAAGATGAAACCGATGTTGTTGGAAATATAGCGACAAGCACCATCCAACAATACATCGAGTTTTAGACCTAACTCAACAAAGAACTGAGCTGAGTTTTTGAAAATAGAAAGCCCTTTTTATATTGCCTTTGGGGTGGCCGTGTGTGATAAATTTTTGGTTGAACTTTATTGTAGCAGGATGATGAAATGTGTGCGTCACTCAACGGAGAGACTGAGGGATATTCCCCTTTTGAAAAAAAATGTATTAGTAGAACTACTCATACTAGCTTGATCCAGATTACTTTCCTTAAAACCCTTTCCTTTTTATAACTGCTTCCCCCCTACTCTGATCTACTAGTATCAACTTTGTTTTGATGGTAGGAAAAACCGTCACACAAGTGAAATCTAACTTTTAACGATTTCCCCCAGAATTTCTCGCTTTGATTTTTTCCCTCGTCCTCTGATGTACGCTCTCATCATCTCTGGACCTCTGGAGAAGGATCCCTGGGATCATTGCGCCCATGAAGGTTTGCCCCCTCGTGGTAATAATTAGCAGCAACGATAGTCTTCTTTTATTTTACCGTTACAACACTTGATCAACCCGGGCTTTACCCCATTTCCATTGCTTGCATTTGCATAACAGAAATACAACGTTCAGATATCAATAGATAGCGGCATGCATCACCATGCCAGATGCATGGCCCATGGCTACCAGCAGATCAGCAGGAGTATTTCAGTGAACCTAACACATTATTTAATCTCGGCATTACGCACCGGGCCTCTTGATAAACTCCACGCATCTATCACACGACCCGACACCCCTTTAGAAAATGCAGATAGCTCTTGTCGTGTTGTGTTTAGATTAACTGAGTACATGTCACATGGGTTGTACGTAGAAAGGCGTGATGGGTTTGGACTTTGGACGTACTGCCGGCGTACTTACAACGACAAGTACTGTGGTATACAAATATACAAGACGTACTGCCAACCAAATTATTGGTGCAAGTCAAGGCGCTGGCCTCTCTGATGATGCTCATCTTATGAGAGATTTGGACCGAACGCAATGCTAGAGCCTTCCGTAACACGGCGGTCCCATTTGATGGTTCTCATTTTCAAGATTAAAAACGAGGTGTCTCTTTGGGCTTTGGCCGATGCGAAGCAGTTGGGAATTGTAATGCCGCGAGAGTAGTTTTTTTTTATTATCGCTGTTTTGCGGTTTTGTTCTAAAACTTCTTCCTTATTCAATGAAATGATAAATCTTTTTAGTTTGATCCATCAAACTGGGGCCAAGTGATCTGCCCTTCCGTTGCATGAAGCCTCCTCATTATCAACACCAAGTAATGCTATAGGTACGGCCTATTGATCAGGTACTTGAAAAAACAAATCAACGTCAATCTTTTGGACCGTTAGGCCATATACAATGGGAGATGTTTAGGGAGGTGCTTAGAAAAATAAATCAAGTTTTTCTGAAGCACCGGTACCTATTTTTACAGGAGAGACGCTTAGTTAAGCGTCTATCCTATACAAATAAGCACCGGTGCTTAAGAAAAGTCTGATTTATTTCTCTAAGAGCAACTCTAGCAGATCCCGCAAAAACTTGACCCGCAAAACGCGTTTGCGGTTTCACGAAGATCGCGTTTGTGGGTCGAAAATTAGCGCGGCCGAACAGAAACCGTATCTAAAACTGCATAATTTGAAAAAACACTTTCGCGGGAGAAATTGCACCTTGTTGACGCGACCGCCTGCCGTCACTCGAGGTCTTCGAGCTCCTCGGCGTGCCGCCGGCGCTCCGCATCCTCGCGCACGCTCCGCTCGGCGATGGCGGCTGCAACAGTGTCAACATCGGCGACGTAGTCTTCCGGCCCGACGACTCCGCGGCGGCCGAGCGGAGCGGGCTCCTCGGGCTCCTCCTTGACGGGGACGAAGTCGAACTCGTCCGGCTCCTCCGGCTCCTCCTCGTCCTCCGACCACTCCCTCTTCACGGGGAGAAGGCCAGTGCCGGAGGAGGAGGAGCTCCCGGCGTACGAAGATCTCGCGGAGGAGAAGGACGCGCGCTGGCGGTCGTACTCCTCCGTCTCGCTCCGCCGGAAGCTCGCCGGCGGCGACATGCCGCGGTTGGTCCACTTTCGGGCCCCGCGCTTCCTCGCGCCGTCCGGCCGGACGCGCCGCTCGTGCTCCGGGTCGCTTCCGCCGCCGGATCTGCTACCGGAGCCGCGTCCGGAGCTTCACATACGGCCCCACATGGCAGCTGGAGGCGGGGAGGTGGTCGCCGGCGACGAGAAATGTTGAGAAAGGGGTGGGGAATCGCATGGCTCGGCGGCGGCGAGGGATAGGGTTTCGACCCGCAAACGAGCCGCAGAACCGTAGATATAGCAGTCGGGGCGTGCGGTTTGCGGGCACGGCAAAAAAATTTGCGGGCCGGGCGAGTATGCAGGCTTTGTTCTGGCCGGAAAATTGGGCCGAACCCGCATACTCGCCGGAATTTTGCGGGTCTGCGTGTTTTGCGGGGTCTGCTAGAGTTGCTCTAAGCACATCCCCTAAGCACCTTGCATTGTATAAGGTCTTAGATCACCATCAATGGCCATGATCCCACATGCGTTCTTCTTCTTGTTCTTACTCCTCCCTTTCGCCTTCCTATATACTCCCTCTGTATGTGACATAGTTATATCACATCTAAACTGATGTCCACTCTGTTTGTGGTCATTTTTTGTCCTAGTTTTTTTTGTTTCTTGTTGCTGCATTATATATCGGCAATGATAAATTCCGAACGTTCGGATTTTAAGCATGGTAACCTGAACGTTTTTTATGGCAACTTTAGTTCACGTGAGGTTGGCAAACATTTGCAATTTTCTGACAAAAAAATAAACTTTGGACAAAGTTGCCATGTCTTAACAACTAAAGTTGCCACCTCGCGTCAAGTAAAGTTATCATGTAAAAACATTTGAGATGAAATGCTTAAAATCCGAACGTTTGGATTTTATCGGGGTCTTTATATATTTGTGGGAGCTTAGATGTGACATCCTTAAAAAACATCTAGATGTAAATTAAACTGAAGAAATAAAGTACGTAACCAACGCCCGTACTACCGCATGCTTCGGCCGTCCCTCCCACCCATCCCTACCGCTGGTAGCATCGTCCTAGTCTTCGGTGAGGTCCTGGCTCAACCTCGCTGGGATCAACGCTCCCCGCTGTTGCTCGTCAGGACAACTCCACCGCGCGACCCCATCTTATCCGGGTGCGTCCGTTTGGGGTAAAACAGACGAATAGCGCGGCCCAACGCGCGGCCTCAAACGGAAAAATGTCCGGGATCCGTCCGTTTTCGGTCCATCCCCGGCCGAAAGTTGCGCTCGATTTGGGGTAAAACGGACGCGCGCGGACGGCCGCGACGCACGCCCTTGTCCTCCTGTGGCCCGCCTGTCAGGGACAGTAGCAGTCCCTCCCTCCCAACGCTTCGACACTCTCTCTCTCCCGCCCCATCCCGCCGCTGGCGCCGCCGCTATTCTCCGGCCGCCTCCTCACCGCACAGGCCCCGGCCGTCCATACCAAACCACGTGGACGCCACCATGCCCGCCCGTAGTTTTGGCCATCGATCGGAGGAGGTTTGGCCGTCGCCGTCTTTGCCAGTGGCAGAGGAGACACGACCGTCGACGACGTACCACGGCGGTCGCGGCAGCTTCCGACGGCTCCAGAGTGGCTAGTAGCCGGCCGACAACCACCCCTGCTGCGTCGAGGTGATCATCGCGGCCTCTTCGCCACCACGATCGCAAGGTGTTCGACATTTTGCCCACAAAGGTATGGACAGTGGAGACGAGTTCTTCTTCCACCACTTCCTTTGTTCATCGGACGATTCGTCATCGGATGATGAAGATCTTGTGATGGTTGCACTGGTCGTTCACGACCACATTCAACGGCAGCTTCCTCGGTACAGGGGGTCAATCCCTGGTCGTGCTCCCAACCTGAACCGCAACAAGGAGAGAGGCCACGCCCTGCTCTATGCCGATTACTTTTCCAACAAACCACTCTTCAAGCCGGATACATTCCGACGTCGTTCTTGAATGGGAAGGCATGTGTTCAATCGTATCCGAGAAAGAGGGGTTGCTCATGACCCATACTTGGAGTGCAAGACGGATGCCCTTGGCAAGCTTGGGTTCTCCTCTTACCAGAAATGCACCGCGGCCGTCCGCATGCTTGCCTATGGAATTCTAGGTGATCTGGTGGATGAGTACGTGCGTATGAGCGAGACAACATGTCTGATGTCAATGTACAAGTTCTGTCAGGCTGTGATCGAGGTGTTTGGCCCAGAGTACTTGAGGCAGCCAACTGCCGCTGATACAGAGAGATTGTTGGCGACCAACGCAGCTAGAGGCTTTCCAGGCATGCTTGGCAGCATAGATTATATGCACTGGTAGTGGAAGAACTGTCCATTTGCTTGGCAGGGCCAGTACAAGGGGTATGTAGGCGAGTGCACTGTCATATTAGAAGCGGTGGCATCGCAGGATCTCTGGATATGACATTCTTTCTTCGGCATGGCAGGTTCTCACAATGATATCAACGTGCTGCAACGTTCTCTAGTCTTTGCGAGGCTTGCAGAAGGCCGCTCCCCACCTGTCAACTTTGAGATCAACGACCACCAGTACAACAAAGGATACTATCTAGCTGATGGTATATATCCTCAGTGGTCAACTTTTGTGAAGACAATCTCGAAGCCCTAAGGTGAGAAGAGAAAGAGATTTTCCCAAATGCAAGAGAGTGCTAGAAAAGATGTGGAACGTGCTTTTGGTGTGTTTCAATCCTGATGGGGCATCGTTCGATACCCTGCACTGTCATGGGATGAAAGGAAGCTTTGGGAGGTGATGAATGCTTGTGTGATGATGCACAACATGATCGTCGAGGACAAGCGTGATGACAGTATCTTCGACCAAGGATTTGATTTTCAAGGTGACAATGTTGAGCCCCTGCACCAAGAACCGGCCACGTTTGATGAGTTCTGCCAGTTCCATCGTGAGCTGCGTGATTGGCACACTCATAAGGCTCTTCAAAATGACTTGGTTGAGCACGTGTGGGAGCATATTGGCAACCGATAGATGTATTGATTCATTTAATGTTCACTCAAGGCAATTTCGATTTGGTTGTAAAACTATCTTTATTAGAGAGACAACTTCGATTGGGTTGTAAAACTATTTTAATTTTCAAATAATTAATATTTAAACGTGTACACTTGTTTTCATATGAAAATATAGGTATTTTTAGGCCCTGGCGGATGAGATTGGGCAAACGGATGCAGCCGCGCGCTGGGCGCACGGCCACCGCATCTCAGAACAGACCCCGACACGACCCCATTGTCCTATCCAAACGGAAAAAATCCGGACAAAACGGACGTCCGTTTGAGGTCATGCGGTGAAGTTGGCCTCACGTCACGTCCATCTTCGGTCTCGGCGGAACAGAGTGTTGTGTGCGAAAATTCCAGGCACATGGTGTTTAGTATAGTACAAAACGAATACTACAACTACTCCTATATGATATGACATACATGCCATATAAACGAGGGTACAGCTACAACTACCCCGGATTAAAAGCTGATCATCAGAGACGTCTATTTAAAATCTCTAAAATATGTCTATATACTCCTACATCCGTATGTGCTGGTCCATTTAAAATCTTGAAAAAGACAGATATTTAAAAACGGAGCGAGTATATGACATGACATGCATTAGGCTCCCATGCATGCCATATAAACGAGGGTACAGCTACAACCACCCCGGGTTAAAAGCGAATCAAGAGACGTCTTCACACCGGCATATTGGACTCGGGACAGCGAGAGTGCGAGGCAAGAAACTGACACTGGCCTTGTAATAATAATCCTAAATACACTTACTCAGTGGTCACGTACGTGATTCCTAGACCACATCATTCCACACAAGTCGCCATGGGTAGGTGCGGAGGGCCAGAGGTGACAGCGACCGAGAGGTGATTAATTTCGGCAAATGAGATGGCGGCGAAATGTATACGGTACGGAGGTGATGGATGCGGACGTGCAACTTACCCGTCGAGGAGGTGCAGGTGCGCCTCCAGGTTGTGGGAGCAGCCGGGGTCGAGCGTGTCCTTGAGGAACGGCGAGCGCTTGTGGTCGAGGGCGAGCTCCACGCCGACGTGGCTGTAGCACCACGGCATCCGCAGCCCCTCCGCCACCCGCCGCACCATCTCCGGCACCCCCTCGTTCAGGAAGATCCCCGGCATCCGCGGCACGTTGTCGTGCACGTTCGTCACCCGCAGCGCCTTCACCCCGAGCTCCCCCTCGAACCGCTCCCTGAACCGCCCGTTCCCCACCCGCGGCCCCGAGAAGGAGTACACGCACACCGCCGCCCTCTGCATCCCATCGTACGTCTCGGTTAGTTGAGCATGATTCATGAGCACGTACGTGTGCATGGAATGGAGGATGAATCATCAGGAGAGTTTGGTTCTGCCCGTACCTTGCCGTTGGAGAGGTTGGCGGCGGACTCGGCGATGTCATAGGCGCTGAGGATGGCGAGCGAGCTGCCGAGGCTGTGGCCGGTGACGGTGATGCTCACGTCCTCGCCGAGGGCGGTGTAGTGGGCAACGAGCTTGCGGACCTCCACCAGGACCTGCTCCCGAGCGGAGTACTTGCAGAAGCGGCAGGAGGGGTCCTTGTCGGTGTAGAGGTCCACGAAGCCGGACTCCACCTTCACCTCGGGGTCCGGGCACGGGATGCCCTCGTCGGCGACGGGCCGGAGGTAGTCCATGAGGTCCGACACCCACTCGAGCCGCGTGATGGTGCCGCGCCACGCGATGGCGATGTCGCGCCGGCCCAGCCGCGCGGATTCCTCGTCGGTGGACACGGCCACGTAGCCGATCCAGTTCGCGCGCTGGCTCCAGAGCTTGGCGTCGGCGCGGGACTTCCCGGAGAAGAAGTTGGGGAAGCGGAAGTTGGACGTGGCGTACAGGTAGCGGGTGACGGCGTAGCCCCGCGCCGCGTCGGGCATGCCCAGCCGCTCGAAGAAGGCGCTCCGCGGGTACTTACAGCTGCCGCAGTAGCGGGAGGCCAGGTCGTAGTCGAAGGCGTCGTAGCAGGCCTGCGCGAGCTCGCCGTAGCGGATGAGCTCGGAGCGGAGCAGCGGGTCCATCGGGTCAAGAAGCCCCGCCCAGTCGTCGCTGCCGTGGATCTCCCGCCACCGTGCGGGCAGCTCGTCCTGGTGCTTCTGTGCTCCGCGGCGCCGGCCGGACGAAGCATCGTCGGGAAGGTACAGGTCGTCCTCTTCCTCGTCTTGGGTGAGGTTCTGCCCTAGCTGGCCGACGAGGGAGGCGAGCGCGTCGTCCCTGGTGGCCGCGGAGGGGAGCTGCAGTCTTTTGGCGGTGGTGAGTGGTGTGCGCGGGGCTGGAGCGCGTCGGAGGGAGATTTGTGTGTGGGTGGTGGCGGCGGCGGTGCCGCGGTGCGGGAGGGAGGAGAGCTGCGGGGAGAGGTCACGGCAGGAAAGTGGCGCCATTGGGGAAGGCGATGGCATGGTCGTATGGAATGGAGACACGCGGGCAGAACACCTTTATGCCCCTCGGGAGAGGTATACGTCTATCGGCCACCGAGCTCTGACATTGCGCTGGAAAGAACTACTCTTGTTGACCATAGGAAGAAGACAAAGGATGAGAAATCAATTTGTCTAATTCACATCTAAATATTTTTTAAAGATATCACATTTAAGGTTTTGATACTTTTTAAATGAAAGACATAAAGCCCGACTTCAAATTAATAAAGCCATCGTTGCAAGATCTTTGCCTGGCTCATGGTCCAGTATCGCTTATGGACGTCCGACAGACGCGCTCGGCATGGGCTCCAGGATGAGCCATCCGTCTGTTTCACCTGCTTACAGGACCAGGACAATGTGGATCATATTCTGGTGAGATGCGTCTACGCGTGGGAGGTTTGGCATCGCTGCTTTGATAAACTCCACATGGACATTGCTCTGCCAACCCAGAGCTGCACTTTTACCGACTGGTGGTCACATCAAAGGACGAGGTTCTCAGGTAAAATCCGCCGCGGTTTTGACTCCTTCGCGATTGGCACGGCTTGGGCGCTGTGGAAACAGAGGAACGCGCGGGTGTTTAATAGAGTGCTTGACCAAAGGACGCCCGAGCAACTGGCGACACTGGTTCTTTCTGAGATCAAGGAGTGGTCGCTTGCTGGATTTGGTGTAGGAGGCTTAGATCCATTTGTGAGAGAGTGAGTTTGTATCTTTTGGTGTCGGTGTTGTCAAGCAGGATGTTCGCATCTTGCTAGACTGCTTGTAACTATTCTCTGTCTTCTATAAAAATATAGTACGCCAATTTGGCGTACTCCGAAAAAAATTTAATAAAGCCATAAACCGGCTAAGATACATGATGTTGATTATTTTGGAACGGAGGAAGTACAAGGCAAAGCTTTGAGAAAAACTGAAAGATTACAAGTGAGATCACACTTCCACATGCCAAAGTGCAAACTTACCAGTACAAAGCAAACAAGACCAAGCCGCCGGGGGTACTTCGCAGACCAGAACAACGAATACAGAGACATCCACGGGGCACCGAGCAAGCAGTGTAGAGGAGGATCGTGCCTGCAGGGAGGAAAACATTGGATGTGCCACAACCCGGACGTGCAAATGCTAGAGAGGAGAACTAATCTCCTCTACATCCAAGCCGTGCCACAACACGGGGATGCCGTAAACTGGCCAGCGGAGCACGAGCGCGACAGGGCAGCAACCACTGAAGGATAGCAGGGCACAACACCTCATCTCCACCACCGCTGGAAACCCGAGCAAGCACTGCACCATAGCCGCCACCAACCAAGAACTGCGGGCACCCAACCCAACCCCTACCCCTAGCCAACGCCTCCAAGGAGGATCACGATGATGGAGCGCCGTCGACGGCCGGCCAAAGCCTAGATTTTCACCTGGGGAAAAACATGGGAGGGGGAGGTGGAGGGAGGGAAACTCAACGCGCCCTCAAGAGGGGATTCGGAGCCGATGCACCGCTGACGTCGAGGTCGATGCGGAATCGACTAGGGGATTCCCCCGTTCCAAGCTCCCTCCACCGCACCTCAGGGGCCAGATCTTGCAGCACGGACGCGCTAAATCCAGATCGGTGAGGGGATGCAGAGCAGACGGAATGGGCCGGAGATCCGATCTGGCGGAGCCACCGGAGCAGCCCGTAGCAACGAGGCACCTCCGCCGTCCAACCGCCGCCTGCACGGCCGGAGGGATGGCCAGCACCCACAGTGCCCTCCACCGGAGAGAGTGGCGCCGCCCACCAGATCCAGGGTCGCCGCCCCGGCAACCAGAGCTCCCTGCGCGGATGCAGGGCAGCGGGGCCTCGCCACCACTTTCACTGGGGCTGCACGGCGGCCGGCGGCGCCCTCAGGTGGCGGCAGGGAAAGGGGAGGTGAACGAGAGAGGGGGCTCAGGAGGCTAGGGTTTGGTCGCCCACTCGGGGCGACGCGAGTGAGAGAGTCCTGGATTAGGGGGTCCTCGGACAGCCGGACTATGTACTTGTGCTGGACTGTTGGACTACGAAGATACAAGATTGAAGACTTCGTCCCGTGTCCGGGTGGGACTCTCCTTTGCGTGGAAGGCAAGTTTGGATATTCGGATATGTAGATTTCCTTCTCTGTAACCGACTCTGTGTAACCCTAGCCCCCTCCGGTGTCTATATAAACCGGAGGGTTTAGTCCGTAGGACAACAACAATCATAATCATAGGCTAGCTTCTAGGGTTTAGCCTCTACGATCTCGTGATAGATCAACTCTTGTAATACTCATATCATCAAGATCAATCAAGCAGGAAGTGTTGGGGAACGTTGCAGAAAATAAAAAAATTCTACGCTTTCACCAAGATCCATCTATGAGTTCATCTAAGCAACGAGAGAAAGGAGTGCATCTACATACCCTTGTAGATCGCGAGCGGAAGCGTTCAAGAGAACGGGGTTGAAGGAGTCGTACTTGTCATGATCCAAATCACCGATGATCCTAGTGCTGAACGGACAGCACCTTCGCGTTCAACACACGTATGGTTGAGGAAGACGTCTCCTCCTTCTTGATCCAGCGAGGGGGAAGAAGAGGTTGACGGAGATCCAGCAGCACGACGGCGTGGTGGTGGATGCAGCAGCAATCTCGGTAGAGCTTCGCCGAGCTTCTACGAGAGGGAGAGGTGTAGCAATGGGAGAGGGAGGCGCCAAGAGCATGGGTTGAGGCTGCCCTCCCTCCCTCCTCTTTATATAGTCCCCCTAGCGGGGGGCGCCGGCCCTAGGAGATGCCATCTCCAAGGGGGGGCAGTGGCCAAGGGGGTGGCTTGCCCCCCAAGGCAAGTGGAGGCGCCCCCCACCCTAGGGTTTCCAACCCTAGGCGCAGGAGGGCCCAAGGGGGGGGGCACCAGCCCACCAGGGGCTGGTTCCCCTCCCCACTACAGCCCACGGGGCCCTCCGGGATAGGTGGCCCCACCCGGTGGACCCCCGAGACCCTTCCGGTGGTCCCGGTACAATACCGGTGACCCCCGAAACTTTCCTGATGGCCGAAACTGCACTTCCTATATATAATTCTTCACCTCCGGACCATTCTGGAACTCCTCGTGACGTCCGAGATCTCATCCGGGACTCCGAACAACTTTAGGGTTACTGCATACTAATATCTCTACAACCCTAGCGTCACCGAACCTTAAGTGTGTAGACCCTACGGGTTCGGGAGAGATGCACATGACCGAGACGCCTCTCCGGTCAATAACCAACAGCGGGATGTGGATACCCATGTTGGCTCCCACATACTCCTCGATGATCTCATCGGATGAACCATGATGTCGAGGATTCAATCAACCCCGTATACAATTCCCTTTGTCAATCGGTACGTTACTTGCCCGAGACTCAATCGTCGGTATCCCAATACCTCGTTTAATCTCGTTACCGGCAAGTCACTTTACTCGTACCGTAATGCATGATCCCGTGACCAGACACTTGGTCACATTGAGCTGATTATGATGATGCATTACCGAGTGGGCCCAGAGATACCTCTCCGTCATACGGAGTGACAAATCCCAGTCTCGATTCGTGCCAACCCAACAGACACTTTCGGAGATACCCGTAGTGCACCTTTATAGTCACCCAATTACATTGTGACGTTTGGCACACCCAAAGCACTCCTACGGTATCCGGGAGTTGCACAATCTCATGGTCTAAGGAAATGATACTTGACATTTGGAAAAGCTCTAGCTAAACGAACTACACGATCTTTGAGCTATGCTTAGGATTGGGTCTTGTCCATCACATCATTCTCCTAATGATGTGATCCCGTTATCAATGACATCCAATGCCCATAGTCGGGAAACCATGACTATCTGTTGATCAACGAGCTAGTCAAATAGAGGCTTACTAGGGAGATGTTGTGGTCTAAGTATTCACACGTGTATTACAATTTCCGGATAACACAGTTATAGCATGAATAACAGACAATTATCATGAACAAAGAAATATAATAATAACCATTTTATTATTGCCTCTAGGGCATATTTCCAATAGGAAGTAGGGTATTACCTCCATAGAGAGGGCCCAAACCTGGGTATACATTGTGTCCCTCGCCTCCTATTACCATTAGTCTTAGACGCACAGTTCGGGACCCCCTACCTGAGATCCGCCGGTTTTGACACTGACATTGGTGCTTTTATTGAGAGTTCCACTGTGACGTCGAAAAAGGTTTGATGGCTACCCTTGTTATCAAGGACAACATCACCTCTGGTGGAGCCCTGGCTTTAGGCCAAACCCTCTGACTAGGCGGCTTCGTCATGACCGCCCGTGCGGCCGCCGCGCCGACGATGACTTCTCGGGTCATCAAAAACAACCTTCAGGTCAGCTCGGAATACACCGAGCAGATGGATCCAATGGAGCTCTCGTCCTTGAACGAGCTCTTGGATTGCATCTCCGCCTTGGGAGTCGCTACGGACTATGATCAGATTGGGCTTAAACCTGATCAGAGAGAGATTAACTCTCCGCCGGTCACCCATCAGATAGCGGTGGTGGAGGATCAATGCAGCGATTCTTCCTCTATTTTGAGGACGAACTATGTCCGGATTCCCGAGCTCTCCAAGCCGGATACCCGTCTGCGGGAGGACATGACCCAAGCTTCGAACTTAGAATCAGACAACATGTCAGAAAAAATGGGCAACATCCCGGAACCCGAACTACCAAGTTTGGAAGCTCCTCTGCCCCTGGGTCTCAGATTGGGTCAGGGTTCAGACTTAAATCTACCCACCCACCCAGATACAAGCAATATTTCCCACATTAGACAACAATCCCAAGAGATAGTACATCACTCTTGGGCCAGATTCCTCCTTGTAATGAGCAAGGTTAAGGACTGTCGCGAGGAAGACGCAATCTCATTCTTTTGCAAAAATCGCACGGACAAGGGAATCCTCAACGCCATAAATCGCCGTGACATAGCACACTTCGCTGACTTGGCGGCCATAGTACAGAAGTACTGTGCGATGGAAAGCGCCTG